AAAAAAAAAAAAAAAAAAAAAAACCAGTTACAAATGCTTTAGTCCTTGGAGTAAGATGTTGCATATTTTGCCTTTCATTTCCCCCTCCGACGATAACGCTTAGGCCCCTCACCAAACTCTCAGTAACCATGGTAACTGTATACAAACCCATGCTGGCGATGGTGGTGAATGGTAAGTGGTGAAGTCCATCTGCCGTTTCACGTATTTAGTGCTGATATATCTATATACATATATATATATACCACGTGGATTTTTTTGACTTGTTGTATTAAGTTTTCTTGATGCTCTTTTTTTGGACATTGGTACGCCTGTAATTGAGTGTCCGTTCTAAGCTAGCCTGGGAGGCACTGACTGGATTGAGTTATGACCAGTGCACATCTTACTCAGATCGTTAACTCCATATTGTGTTAAACAATGCACCCTCTCTTTTATCCTTTTGTTAGCTGTGACTTTAAAGCTTGAATGATTTTGTTAATTCTTGCGATGTCAAAGGCTCTTGTTCCAAGTGTTGAATGCTAGATGTTGCTTTCTCCCGATGGTTTTTTCCTCCCGAAGTGTTGCACACGGCAAAACCTGTTTGTCCCTTTTTTTGACATTTATGTTCCCTCGTACCTGTCTCCCCCCTCTTCTCCTCCACTGCATGCCCCTTCATATGAACTTTATTTTATGTTTAAAAAAAATATTTACTGTTTCTGTGTTACCATGGAATACACGCATGCTTTTAAAATCTTCAACTCTGCGGTTATCTTTTTAATTTGCTTTTATTGTCTCTTTATTAAACTTTTAATGATATGACATTGCTTTATTGAAATGATTTGAAAGTTAAAATGGTTATGAAGTAAATGTAATTTTTAAAATGTATGATTTTGTTATGCACCTACTGGCTTTTATAAATTAAAATGCATTTTAGTTTTTAGTTTTGTTTTTCTTTTAATAAGTAATCACAGTCATAATGCATGCAACTAATTGAACTGTGAGCTGGCCCTAGAATATATGCTCATTGGAGTTTTCTATGTACGTAGGTAAATAATGCCACAGCACGTGTAATGACAAATAAAAAGACTGTCAACCCTTATACGAATGGTAAGTAGAGACTGGTCCTTTATAAGAAATCCTCTTTACCCCTGACTCTGTTAAATCACTTAACAAGGGAATCTGTTTCAAAAAACGGTACTTGCCTGGGCATGGCCATGAGTCCTTAAGGGTGCTGACCTGCTACAGTCAACCACGTCAATCAATGAGATAATTTTCACAACAGAGGCAAATTTCATTTTCAGGTTAAGTGTATGTGTTCTCCTTCCCACCTCTCCAGAATCATTCTCAGTTGAGACTGAGAGGTAGTAATTATTTGGGAATTAGTTAGGTAATGTAATTTGTTGTTTCTATGTAAATTGAGGGGAGGGTGGAGGTTTTGTTTATATTTTTTCCCCTTCCATCTCCTCATTGATCACTTACGTTCTGGAAATGTAGCCACATAATTTCGTTCTGGCTTTGAGTCTTCTCCCAAAATATTAGGCATTTGAAGCAGCCGATGACTAAGTTCCATAGCATTGGCAGAGAGGTGTTAGTGGATTATTTGCTTCTGTCTGAGTTGCTTGGTGTCATTTTGGGCCAGGCGAGAATGTTGCTGTATGTTGCAGACACCACCACAAAAAACCCAGTAAATGTTTTATTTACCGAGCAATAAAACGTCTCAAAATCCCTCCTAAAACGAATGTACATATATGTGAAGAGTTATTAAAATCTTCATTTTGATTAATTCTTCTCAAAAGAAATACCTTTTGGGTGGCACCCGTGGCTCAAAGGAGTAGGGCGCTGGCTCCCATGTGATGGAGGTGGTGGGTTCAAACCCGGCCCCGACCAAAAACTGTAAAAAAAAAGAAATACTTTTTAAGATATACAGGGGAGAAATCTGCTGCTGTACTAATCACGTACTTAATCGTATCAAAAATTAAAAAGAAAGTAATGAAGAAGTATACAGGCTTCGGTGTATATTACACTCATACAAACAATCAGGATAAAGACTATGAAGGCCCCATAATAAATAAAAAATTAAATGATAAAATAATTACATGTACAGCATGATTTCAACTAAATGATATTAGTAATTGTGCAAAAATGCTAAAGTTGTGTTGAGTTACAAGACTGGAAGATTTTTTTAATTTATAGATTTTTAAAAAATAATATAATTTTACTATCAAAATAAAATACATATGGAATTGTCCACTTTTAAAGTTTTAATTACACACGAAACATGTAGATATAGGTTTATTTATTAAAAAAGACAAGAGAATTTTTAAAAAATTAAGAACAAGGGTAAAATATATATCACTGCTGACCTGATCTGCTGCCTCCCCTCAGAGGAAGCCACTAGCACAGACCATTGTCTATAGTTTTATTCTGGATTTCCATGCATGTACATGTAGTAGGTGCCTATTTATCGTATTCATGATATTGCATACCTGTATCTATATAAATAGCATCAAGATGTGCGTGTCATTTTTAATTGGCTTTCATTAATCACTATAGAGAGTTATTTTGATGTTAAGACCAGCAAATCAGACTAATTCTCTTTCATGCTTACACAATATTCCATAAAATGGATATATGGGTTTATTCAGAACTGCAGATCATTGGGTAATTGTTTTTGTTTTACAGTGAAAAATAATACTATTGGGTAGCACCTGTGGCTCAAAGGAGTAGGGCGCTAGCTCCATATGCAGGAGGTGGCAGGTTCAAACCCAGCCCTGGCCAAAAAAAATAATAATACTATTAACATGGGTAGTTTTGTTTTTATTCTTTCTTCTGCCAGTGGCTATCAATTTGATAAAATCTCTTTGTTCTTACTTTTAAAAAGGTCTCTCCACATAGGCCTCTCAGGGATTTAGTTTGCAGACCGTTTTTCTCAGTCCCAACAACCCAAGGCATCCCCTTAAATGGACAAGACAGTTTCCTCAAAAGGCTTGAAATGCCCAGTGCTGAAATGAAGCAAACCTCCAATTTACATGTCATGAAGCCTTTCTATTTGGATAAGAATAATAGCTCTGCAACTTGCCAGAGTTAATAATACCTGGCAACATCAACCCAACTGTTGAGCACAATCTTTAATTAAGAAACTGCAGTTTTAAGCTGAGCCAGGTGGCTCTTGCCTGTAATCCCAGCACTTGGGAGACCGGGGTGGGTGGATTGCCTAAGCTCAGGAGTTCAAGACCAGCCTTAAGCCAGAGCGAGACCTGTCTCTAAACCATAGCCAGGCATTGTGGTTCCAGCTACTAGAGAGGCTGAGTGAGGCAAGAGAATCGCTTAAGCCCAAGAGTTTGAGGTTGCAGTGAGCTGTGATGCCATGGCACTCAACCGAGGGCAAGAAAGTGAGACTGACTCAAAAAAAAGGAAAATTTCAGTTGTGTGCCTGCTCTGCCGCAGGTGTGCTTGTGTGAGTGTGCATAGGCAGCTCATGCACACTGTCTGCGAAATGGAACGAGAAAAGCCATTCCTTAAGCCACACGTATGCATATTTATTTTAAGAGATAAGTTATTGATCATTGTCATATCCAGAGACTGAAAAACAGGCCTGTAGAATTTTAGAACACAACTCAAAGCCCATTAATAAATAGCCAACATTTCTGGAACGGATTATGTACACGTTATGTGCAGAAGCATTTTCAATACACTGGACCCAACTGAAGTCTTGCAAAGAAGAAAGCATTGTCCCTGATTTAGAGGTGCAAAACCTGAGGCTAAATGAAATAATTAGTGAGACTTTTCTTTATACTGTGAAGCGACAAACTCTTGTCGGTTTGCCTGTGGTCTGTATCAGGCATGACTCTCCCCCTCTCATCTTGTTGAACTGAATGCAAATGGCAACTGGCTACAGTAATGAAAAAATTGTTAAGTGTGGGACCTGTGCTCCTGCTTAAACATCCCATGCCCCTTTCCAGGACTCAATTCTGGTGGTCTCTTACCCAGATTTCTACAAAGGGGTACTCAAAGGATTATTCCTGCTACACACACTAAATATGGCATCCAAGGTAGATGGGCAGTCACGGTATAACTGATTTAAAAAAATAATTGTGAATCTTGATTATATAGCAACTGTAGCTTCTATAGTGGGAATTATGGAGAACTTTGGTATCCAAAGAAAAATAGATCTGCAAGCTTTTCCAAGTTTTAACTCATCAGTATCACCACCACAGATAAAATCTCCCGTAAATCATGAGGCAATGTCACCAAAGAAAGTGTGGAGCCCATTCATACATAACAAGTTATTGTAAGAAAAAAAAGAGAATAAATCAGGACTGATAAAGTCACATTGAAATGAGAACATTCAGCGTTGGTGACGTTCACTCATTAGGTACCTAACTCATTCTCACAAAGCATAAAAATTATAACTGACCAGAGTCATCAGATTTTGAGGTCATCTCCAAATGGTGAATGAAAGGTATCAGTGCCAGCATCCCATTCATGCATCCAATAAAAATTTTAGCGGTTGCACAGTTGCCTGTGATCAACTTGGTCTTAAATGCTATGACATGCTTGTCTAGAAAGTTCCACTACGGAGAACCTCACTTAATAACATCATGGAAGATGTGGGTTCCATTCCTAGGACATTTAAACATGGGTATAAGCAAAATCCGTAGGGTGAATACAGGCTTCTGGATATTTGACCTGTCAGAAGACTGCATAGAGAGCTCAGGCTCTGTGTCTGCTGCTGTTTCTCCCAAGGACGCTGCCCACACAGGCAAGCTGGGGTTCGTTCGCTGTGTTCATAGGAGAGCAGATGTTGGATATGCACAAGTTGAGGGCTGATTTTGCAAGGATTCAGGGATGTGGGGGAAGCATGGATGATACATGTGGGTTTTCTTATTTTCTTAGAGATCTTAGGAAGGGTGAAACTGGACAGAAATATCCAGGAGTAGAGAGACAGGCATACGTGTTCCCACCATCAGCTCTGGCTGTTGTATCGTAGGCAAATTGTTTGAACTTTCCCCCTCAGTTTTCTCAGAGATGTGAATGCCTGGCAGGACCTTCATCATAGGGATTTGTGATAATATAATCATAGCGGGTAAAGTCCTAAACACAGGGCTTGTGTACAAAGGGTCTTAACAGGTGGTTTTTTACTATTATTTGTAGCACAATGTTATTTAATTACACAGTAATCTCAATATTAAACAATCATATTCTTCTCCTTCTGTTATAGATAGTAAGTTGAGTGCCTTGATAGACACTAGGTTAAGGATCAAATATTCAGATGCTAACGAGGGCTGGGTATATAGAATAAGAAAGCAGAGAGGGTCTGGAAAACTCCCTTTCTAAACTATGGGTTGTTTTTATTTATTTATTTATTTTTCTGGGAAAAGCAGGAGTATTCTTTCTACTAGGATAAAAAAAGCAGAGTTTTTTAAAAAAAAGAAAGAAAGAAAAAGAAAAAAATGGTAGCAGCGATTTGGCCTCCCAACCAAGCCCAGTATAGGGAGCAGTGGTAGGGGGGCCTAACTGGGACTTTACATGAGGTTGGCCCGGTCATCTCTAGAAATCTGTGTATGGAGGGATTCTTAACTAAAAGTTGCCGTTTCTACCAATGTTTCAAGAGAACCAAAGATCCTCTATTTTAGATGACATCTAAATATCAATGTATGTTTGAATAAAACAAAACCCATCTGTAGACAGTGTGCACTGAGCCTCTTTTGGCTTGGCGTTTGGATGTTGCCTCCTGCACCATTTCAGCTCCCAGGTCTCTGGCACCCTTAGTGCACATCATTAGAAAGCATTTTCAGGTAGTTTTTGCAACCCTCTAGCACAGGTAAGGATGCTGGCTGTAACGTGTTTGATACACAGCCCAGCAAAGCCTGAGAGAAGGCATGCGCTGGTTCCTTTGTGTGCACCTTCAGGCTTGCCTTTTAACACCCAGTACAGTGATGGCTAACACTGGGGCCCTTGGCCAGCAGTTCTCTAAAGGCGGTTGGCTTTTGACTCCTGACAATCAGATGAGTGCTGATTTGGGTGCAGCCCCTGGGGGCTCCACCACAGAAGGATCGCTCTAAACTGCTCATGTGTCGGACACAGAGCAAGACCCCAAAGTGTCTGGTCTCCGCTCCATTGCCCTGCGTGTGGAGGGGCCCAGGAGGCCCCGAGCGGTGGGCTTTATCAGCTGTTCTCCTTCTGTTGTAAGCCTCATTGTTCGGTTTAATGTCCTTGATCAAAATCTCCGAATTTGCAAGGCCTGGGGACGTACACAAACTGCCTAAGAAATTAAAAATGGGATCATTGTGTTCGCCTTCCTGACAGTGCAGGCTCTTATCTCCAGCAGGGTTATCCCAGGGGTCTCTCCCAGGTACTAGAAGGCGGCACAGGAGCTGTGGGTACATTTGCATGTGATTTGCATACATCTACATAAGCTGAGTGAGCTCAGCAATCCTGAGCCAGGTGATGTTCAAGGTCTGGATTCTCGATCAAGTGGACCCTAAAGGACACTTACAGAATATTTTATCCAACATCTATAGAATGTACATTCTTCTCATCAGCACGTGGAACATTCTGTGGGATAGACCAGATGTTAGGCCAGAAAACAAGTCTAAAAATAAAAAAAGAAAATTGAAATTATATCATGTGTCTTCTCAGACCAGGGTGGAATAAAACTAGAAATCAATAAGAGGAACTTTGCAAACTTCACAAATACATGGAAATTCAGCCATGTATTCCTGAGATACCCCTGGGTCAATTCATGAAGGCATTAAGAAGGAATTTTAAAAATATATTGAAACAAATGAAAATGGAAACACCACACACAACCTATGGGATACAGTAAAAGCAGTGATAGCAATCAACAACTATATCAGAAAAGCAGAAGGATTTCAAATAAACAGACTGGAAGACAGTCTTCCCCCATAGCATCCATAAGGAAGCAGGGCTTGGAGGTTGGACGGGAATCCCAGCCTGAAAGGAATGAATCCATAGGAAATTATATTCCGTTACTTATTTTAGACTAAGCCCAAGGAAATGTTTACAGAGTGCCTACTATTTTCCAAACATGGGTTTGGTGCAGGAGACTCAGGCTGGACAGTGGTCTTGCTTGCATTACCATTAATTTTAATGAAGGAGAGTGGTCACATAAAACAATGAGGGAACAAGCAAAGAAGAAAAAGCCAAATAGCATGAACAGCTCTGCAGAAAATAAAAGTGGGAATGGAATCAAAGAGCAACTCTAAGAAGAGGCAGGGAAGTGACATTAAGTAGAAGGTTCCGGGAAGACACCAGAGACCTAAATAACACCAAGTCAGCATTGCGAAGAGTCGGGGGGGAGAGTTCTCCCAGAAGAGGGAACAGAAAGCCCTTCTATATTAATAGAATGATCTTGGGTGGTTTTATACAGATGAAAAAGGCCAGTATCACTGTAACTGGAGAGAAATAGGTGGCCATGGGTTAGATCGTATGGGCTATAGACCAAAGTCAGGAACGTGCATTTTTCTTAAGCTCAGATGGAAGCAGAATTGTACATCTGATTTTCTTTTTTAAAAATGCTGTGGCCACTATGAATAGGTTGGAAGGGGATTGTGGGGAAGGGATGAAGGAGGAGAGGAGGAGAGTAAAGGAACGTCCATTGTGGAACTGCTCCAGACTCGGAAAGAAGTGCCTTTGTCAGGGTTGATGGCAGTGAAGGAGGGTAGAACTTTTCAAAGTTAAACTAGTAGGATCTTCTAACAGATTGTACATGGGTGTGAGGGGAATGGAGTAAAGAAAGGACGATTGATCAAGAATTTTTTTTTTTCTGCAGAATTTTTGGCTGGGGGTGAGTTTGAACCTGCCATCTCTGGTATATGGGGCTGGCGCCCTACTCCTTTGAGCCACAGGCACCGCCCTTTTCTTTTTTCTTTTTGAGACAGAGTCTCACTATGTCACCCTTAGTAGAGAGGGCTGTGGCATCACAGCTCACAGCAACCTCCAACTCTTGGGCTTAAGCAGTTCTCTTGCTTCAGCCTCCCAGTAGCTGGGACTATAGGCACCCACCACAACAACCAGCTACATTTTTCTTGCAGTTGTCTTTGTTGTTCAGCTGGCCCAGGCTGGATTCGAATCCGCCAGCCTCAGTGTATGTGGCTGGCGCCAAAACCAGTGTGCCACAGGCCCCGATGTTCAGCACCCAAGTTGATGCGGACACCATCTGCTGAAGGGGGAAGGACTTGATGAAGAACACGTTTCAGAAGAGGTGGCAGAGTAGAATTTGGGTTTTCCTGCTTGGCATGTGCTTCAGAAAGCCTATTAGCTTCCCTCGGTGGGAGTGGGGACATCCTACTTTAGGGGACAGGATCAGGGATGGGAAGAAGGGTGATACCAGCTCTGACATTCTCCTGACAACCCTAGCAGTCTCATTTCATTGTGCAGCCTGTAGATTCCTAGATGGTTTCTGATAGAATAAGCCATATCAATTAACTCTCTAAATTAATACTTGTAGACATGGGATGGCACGGATCTCCTAATGAGGGACAGTGTCATTTAATTTCTATTATTTTTATATGGAGTGAAAGTTTTCCATGGGCAGACTTGGCGAAGTGATAGATAATTGGTGGATAGACAATAGATAAACAGATGAATGGTAACTGATAGGGGAGAGTATGTGGATGGACAGGTGGATATAAGGATTGGTGTAGACAGTAAATGATAGATGATAGGCAGATAGATGAGAGAGAGAGAGAGAGTAGATGATAGATGGATAGATAGATGATAGGTAGCTAGATTTTTTGACCAAGGAAATGAGGAAGATAAAGACAGATGAGAGAAACATCATTTCTCGTCAGTCTTAGATGTTCGTGAAAAATCTAGGGTTTTTTTGAGAAAATGAAAAGCCATTGGTATAAATCAGCCCCAGCCTTGTATACGACAATCTTTAATAAGGATATATTTTGAAAGGTGGTAATAAGGATATATTTAAAAAAAAAAACGCTTGCATGGAAAAGTATGAAATAAACGTCATCTTCATTACCAAGAAAAGAAAGGAGGCCAAGTGGGTATAAGATGGAGAGCAGATGGCAGATGAGGAGGTGTGATAACTTAATAATTATTCATTTAATAGGATCATATGTATTTAGTTCGCAACTTCTATGTTTCTGTGCAAGACTAAAAAGGCAGAGAATATTCAATATGTCTGCAGCTTTATTTTCAAGTAGTTTCCTCTCTTTTTTATTAGATTCTCAATGACTTGAAATGCATCCTCTGTAACTGGGCATTTTCTTTTTTAGGGAGCAGTAGAATTTTAGTTGGTCAACTTAAAGTCACTTTTTGCATTCATAAAAGACATATCCTGAAATGTTCAGGGCAATTTTAATTTTTCTGTCACTGTGGAAATTCCTGTAAGGCAAGATACGATTAATACAAGACAAGACAGTATCAGTGTGAAGGTTCGGAAACTAATGGGGCTCTAAGTCCTAGAATTTTATGTTTCTGCAGACCTAAAAATGGGGCCAAGGAATTTCCCAAAACATTCCTCCCAAGTAATCCAAGTAAAACACTTTCAAAAACCCTGAACTAAGATCATCCTGGGAGCTGTAGACCACCAAGCTTATTCAAGTTTAAATTGAAAGTTTTTAGAAACAAACCATCCTTAGAAAGTTCTAGAAAGTTCTGAATCTTAGTAGATCCACATGCCTGTCTGTGGACAGAGATATGAGCCTCTGTCTTCCTTAGTGAATTCCAGGAATACCTCTCAGCTGCTCCTAGAGGCACATCACTTAGGTCAGGCAGGAAATGACACCTCTCCCTTCTGGGATAAAGGTAGAGAGTTCTCATTTTTAGAAATGCCTTCCCTCGCATCCCAACTTCTACATTGCCTTCTCTTAGAAACATTTATTGAAAGACCTTTGGTATTTGACCCTCTTCCCAAAGACTCAGGGTAGCAGAACACATCTGCCCTCCTCTGTCTTTCAATAATTCTGTAATGGTTGTTTTCATAAAGATTTACCAGTAAGAAGGAGATCCATCACAACACCCCAAACTTTGATCATTCTCTAGCGATCATTCTCTAAATAATGCCCATCTATAAGGTGTTTCCTGACTGGAGAATTTCTTTTATGCTCGTTTTTGGAGTAAGAAATTTCTAAAGGGCCAGAATTCATTTTACAGAAAACCCTCCATCCAGAACATTTGGAAAATTACAAGATTCTACTAATCTTATATATATGTTATTTGAAAGTTACCTTAGATATCATGCAGTGATTAAGAAATTTTTACAGTTCTCGAATGCATTAAAATGTATTCCACACTAAATCTCTAGGGGATAAAGTATAATTTTCTGTGGGATTCAAAAATCGCTTTGGAATTCTGTAGCATCGCAGGCTCATAATTAGGAATGACAATTTTTGGAGTACGTAGCTGCACAAAATTCTGTTTATGCAAGCTTTCAAGTTTTTATGAACTTAAAGGCAAGAGACATGGTGGATTATTTAGCAGTGATATATGAAATAAGACAGAAATTGAAATTCTTCTGGTGGCTCTAAAATCTATCAATGTGGTAGAAAATTAATTACCACATCATTTTCAAATGGTTTCTCTGTAGCTGGTCAGTAGTTTCCATTCTGCTATTTTGCGTTAGCAGAAAATCAAAGAAAGGCATAAATCCATTTTTATGTGTAGTTTTCAAATGCATGTTTATGTGCAGGTCTAAACTACATGCACTTTACATTTTAAAATTAAAAAAAAAAAATACGTCAGCCTGTTTTATTTGCAGTCAGTTTGCAGTGAGGGAGGCTGTGGAATCCCATGTGGTGATTATGTTTTTGTCTGTCTGTTTTAAGGCTGGAAATTGAATCCAGTTGTCGGTGCGGTCTACAGCCCTGAATTCTATGCAGGTAAACACTTAAGTCTTTGCATGATGTCTTCCTGGTCTTTACTAAATGTGCTTTGCCTGCCAGTAAAGAATGGGTTCTGGAAAATAATCTGAATCAAGTGAATTCCTGTCCTCACAAGTTCTGAATGATTTCTTTGGGCAAAACCAAGAGTGTTTAAAACATTTTTAAAATTAAAGGGGGGATCACACATGTTATGCTGTGGGGTAAGCAGGGAGCCACTGCTCCTTGTGACGTTTCTCATTGATTTTGCCTTAAAAAAGCATTGAGACTTTGTTCAATAAAACATTGAACAAATGCAGAGCTATTCACACCCATTTTCTTTCACTGTGCCTGAGTATGTCTTTTAGCCACACATTTCCATTTGGGGATAACGTTTTCTTTGTCGTGGCAAAGCAGAGAATCAGCTTAATTTTTCCATTAATGTGGAAGTGATTTGGAATTGCCAAGAGAAATCCCGTTTAGGAAAATATATTTAAAAATTAAGTTGTCTTTCTTTCTCCCTTCATTAATTTCCCTCAGCAATTCCATTTCTCTCTCCTTTGCTTTTAAGGATATCTCTCACTCTCTCCCAGTCCCTGTCTAAGCACCAACTACCCCTCACCTGGGAATCCCACTCTGAGAAAACTCAGTTATAAATTAGGGGAGAACATAACCCAGAACAGTGGCTGAGATTTGGGGTTTTGACATGCTGGGCTTGGCCTGTCCCTACTGCTGTGTCTCCTCGCTCATTACCAAGGCTGCGTTGAGCACCCAGAACCTTAGCAGCAGATTTGCCCCATGGCTGTAGAAGAGAAGTCTGTCTTTGATGTGGCTTTTGCTTGTGAGTAAGGAGAAATAGATAACCGGTTGATCTAGAGCTGCTGGCTTAGTGACAGCCCTTGACGGTAAGTTCTAGGCCTGGCTTTGTTTTTTCCTAGGGTGCCTAACTTTCGTCACTTTCTTATACTAAACGTCAACCCTCGTTGATGAGAGAGGGACAGATAGGAAACTTAGCTACTTCAGTCCAGTAGCCATCTGGGGAGGCTCAGTCTGTTAGCCGAGTTGTGGGTATTAGGTGGGTAATGTTTGCAGTTGTTCTTCATGTGTGAGCTTTGTCAGGAGCCCGGATTAAGTCCAGGATTTCAACCACTGCAGAATAACTCTGTTGACCCTTACGGAGGTGGAAAGACTTAGCAGTAAGGGCTTGCCATGGTCATAGCATGATCTTACATCCAGAAAGAACACACAGCAGAGTGAGAAACGTGGAAACTGTACCCTGACAGCCCAGGTTCAAATCTCGGCTTCCCTACTCACCAGGTGTGTGACTCCAGGCAAGTCACTTAACCTCTCTGTGCCTCAGTTTCTTCATCTGTTAAATGGGGATGGTGATCCCAACAAACTCAAAGGTTTTTGTTAGAATTAAATGGGTTAATATGTTTGGTGTGTCTGGTGTATAGCCAGTGCCATGTAAACATTTGGTTAACAAAAATGAGTAAGTTAATATTTCACCTCTCTGCCGTGAAGGGAAAGTGAACCGAGAGCTGACTCAACTGAATTCTGAGCGTTCTGTTAGACTGTGAGGTTCTTTTCTTTATTCATGAGAGGGTAGTTGTTCAGTTCTCAGTAAATACATTTTGGGGTGGTTAATTGCTGAGACTCAGGGGCGTGGCAGTCAGTTCAGAGGGTGCAGGGACCTCAGCAGGTATTGCTGGGGTGCATCCTTGTGAACAGCAGCAGGGCAAGGAAATTCTCCAAAAGGTGAAGGAGAAGCATCCTCCCTGCCCGGGCAGGCACCGCCCATGAGACGGAGTTAACCAGACGGCAGAAGTGGCAGATCCTGTGTGTGTGTGCGCACACACCTGGGTGCATCTTTTCTCTCCAAAATTATGAGAACAAGAAGCAAGAAGTCTTCCCACAGGGGGCAGGGGGGTCGAGTGCAGATGGAAGGAAAGTCCCATTTTTCTGGTCCTGTGCAATAAACTGTCCTATTGGTCATCCATGGCTCTCCTTACCAGGGAAACACTAAATACCTCCTTGACTTGTGCCTTCCAAAGCCACATGCCTGTCTGTTGGTGTTTAAGAGGACATTAAGATGGAGAGAACAGTTCAGATGGACTTACACATACAAGAACATGTATGTATGTTCCAAACACGTCCTGCGTGCTGAGGGCATCAGAGCAGCGATTCAGATTAGCCCCGAATCCAGCCTCAGAAGTGAGATCGTTAGGTGACAGCGGGGGGATAACTCCTAACCACGGTTAGTATTTAGTGGGTACTTTCTATGGGCCAGACACGGTTCTCAGTGCTACATAAAGTAAGGTATTGGGTCCTCACAGCAATGTTCCATATGGGGAAAGTGAAGTATAAAATATTTGCATCACTGGTCTGAAATTTCAATGATAAAGAGAACATAAAATAAAAAATAATAAACAACTAAATTTTTTAAAAAAGAAAATAGCTTTGTTCATTCCAGAGCCAGCCTGTGTTCTTCACAAGCAGCTTATACTGTTTCTTTGTTTTTTAGATGAATATTAAAAGTCATAATTCCCATCAGCTGTGCCCTATGTGTCCAAACCAGTCAGAGAAGAGAAGTAATCATTTTGGGTTCTTCTAACCATCGCCATAGCGTGTCTAACACAATGATGGTTGGTTCTGGCAGAGGAACCTTTAAGGAGCTTAGGCGGAAAAATATTTCTATGAGCTGTTGCAATGAACTAAAGTCTAAAAAAGCTGTAGCATGGAAAAGTAAATGTTCCTTAAGAAATCTGAGTATCTGCCAATATCTGGATTAATTTCCTCCACCCAGTTGCTTTTTCTCTTCACCTGTGTATTTGTGTTATGTAGGTAGACAGAATTCACAATATCCAGAAAAGTGGGGAAATGTTGTAGTAATTTCAACCCTCCAGAGCAATTCCTTTGGAGTATTGGAAGACCTACAAACACAGAGAATCCAGCCAGCTTAAATCTAAGATTTTAGGCACCTGTACCCATGGAACGGCTCTATGCAAAGAGAGAGCTATAGAATATTCATTTCCATATCCAGGTGTAATCATTAATATCGTCCATCTACATATCCATGACTAAGAATTTATGAGGCTTTTAAAATTTCCCCAGCTAAGAAAATAGTGTGGATTTATCTTGCAATGTTGAGGGTGCCTCAAAGCTGAAAGGAAGACCCTGTCATTGATTAGCTTTGGGTATTCAGCCGGCCAGCCTCAGATCTGCTTAAGATAGAAAGCCAGACTTATTAGTCATTTCTACATATAAGACTTTGTGTTAATGACACATTTCATAATATTCCCATAGTATAATTATTGATTTTCTGAAGCTTATGCAGAATTAACTACCCAGTCTCCAATTGCCTCTCAGAATGGGGCATGAAAAGTTCACATATTTTGTAAATTAAAATCAATATTTTCAATCTCTCCTGAAGGTAATTTTCCTAATTTAGTGGACTTTTTCCTAACATTTATTTTCTCTTTTAATTATAAAATGGCAAGTTATTGATTTTTGTATATCACCTTTGGACGCCCCGAGTGCATTTTTATTGCTAATGCAAGGTGGGGGTGGGCAGAGCCATCACACTCTTAATGAGGACCTTTAATTACCAGCCGAACAGTATTAATTTGCTTTGATAAATTATGACATTCTCTCTCCCTCACATATTCCAGGGGAAGCAGTTAGAGAGCTCTTACGAAAGGTCTTTCATTTTTGATTTTTTAAAATTCCTATCAAGTCATAGTGTAAAAATTCTTTTAAATGCTTATCCAGAGCAAATGTACATAAAGCCACATATCCCATGAACACATATAAATCTTCTCCAAAGAGTGATAAGCATTTTTCTATAAAGCTAAACAGCATTGAT